AAAGAAGGCATTTCCTGTTTTAAAGTACATAAATTTGTCACTAAATTCTGCCCCTGAAACTAATAATACATTACATTTTAACTAAATTGAATTTAAATAAAAAATTTAAAAAATAAAGTACATACCTTTAAACAAATCAACACCAAAAAAAATTTATGTTATTTTTTAAAATACCTACCATATTTCTTCATTTCTAGGATGGCATCCCTTCATATTTTAACACAACAGATATAATAGCTAACATTCATCTTTGTACCAGGTACGGGTATAAAGTGCTTTAAATGTGTCGACATTGAATATGGATCATTTAGTGGGGTGGGAATATTTCATCTTCTCCCTACTAGGTTCTGTTAAACAACTGGTACAAACTGAAATTCCGTGGCTCTTTAGGGTCCAGGAGGTATGGTATGTGTGGAGACAAGGAGTGCTCGTATATATTTAAAAAATAGAAAAGTTACATTGGTGAAATGCTCTTACCTCCTTAGCCTCGCTTGCCAGGCCCTTGGGTCCGCTTTGAGAGAACCACTTGCTAACCCCAAGACACCCATGGATCCCCTGTGCCTTACACATTCAAAGGCCACACTAGTTTCAAAACAGAAGAGTCACCATGTTGAGACGGCGAGGTAACCTTATCTGAAATTTCGCCTCATTCAGCAATCCTTTACATACCTCTGCCCCTGGTCCTCAGCTGGGCCAGGGAGGCGGTGCTGATTTATTTACAAACAGGGTATGAACTATGTAAACCACCAGCGTAAAGTCAAAACACATGATTATATTGGGTGGGGTTTCTCAGCAACTGGCCTCTGAGAGGGGGATTTGCATGCTGAGACTTATTGGGCCATACTTTTGGGAACACCTAAAATGCCTTTGTATCTTGTACTCATTGGGTATGTATAACTTCCAAGGAGGGGTTATGACTTTGGTCGAGGTGGTTATTTTTGGTTGAGGGCAATTCCTGGGGGAAGACTCAGCTTTAAGCTGTCAGCCGGCAGCACTCCAAGCACTTGGGGGAATAAGGGCTTTGGTCCTGAAGGTGGGAACCAGGTGGGACACCACAGCACCACACGTTTACATGTTAATGTACACACACACGTATGTATGTAAGCAGGTACATTCACATATATAAACACACATAAATATATAGATAGACACATACATGTCATGTGTATTTATGCTTAGGAAAATTTAAAAAGCATAAATCAAGCACATAAAACCACAGTGAAATGTGTTATTAGTAAATTGGGCAGATTTATTGAAATCATAGGCTATTATCACAACAGTATGGTGGTTCTCAGGATTGCTCCTGGATGTCTTTAATATAGTGATCCAGCTCTCAGCAGACTAGATCATGGCAGAGAGCAGGAGAGTTTACGTCCCATAAAGACTACGAAGGTGAACTGTTGGCTTGGTCATAGAAAAGAGAACAGCTTTTGGTGCAGTTTGGAATAGATAAGATAGCATTTGCCCTATCAGCAGATGTGTACCAGGTACCCCAGATTGCGCTGATTTGCTCTAGTAAAGACAGACGCCTAGAACTGTGGTTGCAACTGGCTTTACCATCTGATTCAGTTTACACCGACTCATAATAATTCTCTCAGATTCATCTGCCTCTGCGTAGGCTGAACAGGTGAGCTGAATGGGGGAAACAACACGATCGTGACTGCTGCCTCATCCACATCTTTTATGCTGCTACTAATTTTTACATCTTTCCAGGGATTCGGTATCGCTTTTGGTTTTCTATCCTTAGGGGGATCAGCCTCCCTTTCGATCAAGGGGTCTGTGCCCTGGCTGACGTATGAAAACTGGCTGAGAAGGAGGACTTTTCATTTTGATGGCTCAAGTCAGGTTTCGGGAGCAGGGCTAGTTTGCCTCTTACAGAGATCAAGGAGTATTTCAGAAGTCTGCCGGGGCATTACTGAATATCCCCGTAGGTAAGAGTTTTCAGTGGTATGTTTCCCCTGCTGCCCACTGCAGCAAATGTGTCACTCTGTTCCTGCCAGTTAAGCACTGTCACTTGGCCATCCCATCCCAGGATCCCACTGTCATGGAAATCAGGGAGCAATTTCAATGAAAGCATCTGCCACCATCACATCCAGCTACCACAGAGCTTTTCTGCTACTCCCCTTACTAAAGTGTTTTTCAGGGCCTTAGAGTAGAGATAATCACCTGGGCCTCCAGGGGTATATAGTTCAGGGCTGGGTGTACACATTATACATAAAATCACTCCAACTTTGCCATCTCCATGAGCCTTTGGATTTCTTCCTCTACATGATTTGGGCATCTTAATCTCATTGAATATAGACTACCAATGGGTCTGAGTTTTGGCTAGCCAATTAAACAAACCATTAGAGTCACTTTCAGTGTATGAACTAACACATTAAATCCAGGCTTTACAGTAAATGCACCCATATCAACAAATTTAGCCCAATCCTTTGCTCTTTGTTTGGAAACTTGACCAAAAACTGTTCAGCCTTTCACAAAATCATGTCATCTCTGACAAGACCAATGTCGATATTTGAGTTGCTAATACAACACATTTATAGTGGTCTGTCCTTATAGTTCTCTCATTCACAATGGTTCTACATACATGTGTAAGCATCTTACTATTTATTTTGTCTTCTAATACAAAGTTAATGACGAATCATTTTCCTTTTATTTTTCCTTTATTATATCATTAAGAGATTATATTGATTTTTTGGGAAATTTGCATAGGTAGTTAATTATCTATGAATTTCACTTCAGGACAGTAAGGGGAGTATTACAAACACTAGTTACAAAAAGGAGGTGATGGGTCTGATACGGTTGGGAACAGCTCCCTCCTCCTCCTTTTAAATTGGGCCTAAAGAAATTGGGGTGCCTGGGTGGCTCAGTGGGTTAAGCCTCTGCCTTCGGCTCGGGTCATGATCTCAGGGTCCTGGGATCAAGCCCTGCATCAGGCTCTCTGCTCAGCAGGAAGCCTGCTTCCACCCCCCACCCCCCCCCCCCGGCCCCGCCTGCCTCTCTGCCTGCTTGTGATCTCTGTCAAATAAATAAAATAAAATAAAATAAAATAATAAAATAAAATAAATTACGCTAGGCACAGCCATGTTGAACCAAAGTGGATCTTGAGTGCATTTGTAGATTCAATTGTTTGTTATCATTCTTCTGCAAGGTAGCTATGCTACAGTGGAGAATTCTGTGTCCTATTGCATTTACTTACAGAGCCACGCAGGGTGATATTAGTAAGTACAAATACCAAGGACAGTGGTGAAGAGCTGCCTCCATATACAACAGATGCGATCTATTTCGTGTTTGAAGGAGGACTTGAGGAGAAAAACGTTCTGTCTCTGAGCATTAATGAAGACAGAGGAGTGGAAGCCAGGGGCCTGCTTCCTTAGCTCCCTTGTCTGTGGGATCCGAGTCACACAACACCACGGTCAAGGAATAAAGATGGGGATGCTGAGCAGATGCTACCACTCCCTTCTCTCTTTCCCGCTCTCGATCTTTGGAGAGGCTCTGGAAGTAGGGAGGGATAGTCCACATTTGGCCTGTGAGTGAATGAAAGGTAGGTATTTGGTCTTAATCCAGAACCGCAGCTGTGTTTGCTGCTCAAGGCAGGTTTGCTTGGTGGCATGCCAGGGGCACACGGGGCTACCTGGGAGCGGTCCCCCAACCCGCTTCCCTACTTAACTCTTCCTCCTCCGGAACTTCAGCTTTTGGCACTTTGACAGGGAAGCTGTCCTCACCCACCAGTCGGGGTCTGATTCCTTTGGCACGGATTTCTTTTGGAAGCATCCCCCGCCCCCCCCCCCGCCCCCCATCCCTTACCAGTGGTGATTACATTCATTAGTTGTAACCTTTTGCTTCATGCAGGACACCCACTAAGACTAGGTACCTTCCCTGTTCATGCTCCCTGCCTTTCCTACTGTGCCAGCTGGTATGTGGTACAAAGCAGGCACGCAGTACATAGTTGTTGAATGAATAAATGTTTGCTCCAAATTCCAGAAGTGTCGACACTTACTACGGCTGATGCACATTCCACTGTCTCTGTAGCCCATGGGGCTCGAGAGCCGAGTGTTCTCTTTGCTGAAGAGCGCGCTAACTGGATTTTGTAGAAATGAGTCAGGACGGAGACAACACTCAAAGGCCCCATTAATTCAGGACTTCTAATTTAGGACTTCTTTTCTTCTCCAGTCACTCTGCCACCCCCGCCCCCCATCTCCCCAGCTCAAAACCCAGCGTTTGAACTTAGCGATGGAGTCGTGCGCGCGTCCAGCTGGAAGGTAGGGGGAGGACAGGGTGGAAAGGCGAGAGCCCCGTCCCCCACCTCCCAAGTGCTGGACGAACGCTCGTCAAGAGGGACAGTGGGTCCAAGGCCTCCCGCCTTAAACAAAGAAAGCCCCAGAACTACACCCCCGACCTAGGTGGGATAGTCCGTTGGAGCGCCGGGCAATCGGGGCGGACTGGCGGGCGAGGTGGAGGAGGGTGACTGACCCAAGGTCTCCGGTGAGAGGTCAGGTCAGAGCGGTGGCCTGTGAGGGGCGACTCCCCGGGGCTTGTGTCGGCAAGGGCTCGCTCATCGGGCTGTGACCGTGTGTGTCCGATGGGGCTGGGAGGGGGGCGGGGGGCGCGCTCAGCCCCGGGGCCTGGGTGGGGTGTCCCTGGGCGCCCGCGCCTTCGCCTTTGCGGCCGCGGGGCCCGGGCGCCGGGGCGCCGCGTGCAGGCGCCGAAAGCAGGCGGCGGTCTGGCCCCGCGGCGCGGCGCGGCGGGCGCGCTCGGGGGGCGGCGGGCTGCGAGGCCCGGCTGCGGGCGGCAGGAGGCAGCGTCGGCCCGGGCGGCGCGGCGGCGAGCGAGCCCGCGCGCGGTGATGTCAGTGGCGGCCCGGCTGGCAGCGGCCGGCACTTCCTGTATGCGGGCGGGCGGGCGCGGCGGCCAGCCCCAGCGGCCCGCGGCAGCCTCTCGGCGGGAGGAGGCGGCGGCGGAGGAGGAGCAGGGGGAGGGCTGTCAAATTCGGGAGCCAGATTTTGTCCCCTTCCCCCGGCCGTCCCCTCCGCTCCGCCAGCTGCCGGCGTGACATCTGCGGGCCGGGGACCTGCGCGCGCGCCCGGGACGGAAGAATGGCAGTGCTCAAACTCGCCGACCAGGTAGGGGGCGGCGGCGCCGGCGGGCGGGACGCGCGGGCGCGGGGCGGCGCGGAGCCCCGGCGGGGGGATGGGGGCGCGGCGCGGAGCTGTTTACTCCGGCGGAGGGAGGAGTGCGTGCGGCCGCCTGGGCTCCGAAAGCCGGCGGCTGCGGCTCTCCTCCCCGCGCCGTCCCCGCCCTGGGCCGTCGGAACTGCGCGCTCCGCTCGGTGCCCGCGGCGCGCCCGAGGGCAGGGGAAGGGGCGGGCGGGCGCCGGGCGCGGCGGGGGTGCCGCGGTGCGGGGCTGCGCGGAGGTGCGCGGCCGAGCGCGGGGTGCGTTGTCCGCGGGCCCGGGCTGCGCCGGGGGAGGGGAGGCTCGAGGTGCGCCTCCGGCCCCTACGGCGCTGCGCAGCGCGGGCTCCGCCGAGCGAGGCCGGCCGCGGGGAGGCTCGTCCGCGCCGCCGGAAGGAGGGCGCGGGATGCAGGGAGAAGGGCTCGCAGCCGGGACCCTTCCCCGAGCCGAGCCGGACACCGGGCCAGACCGCGGCTCTGGTGGGGTCGAGCCGGCTTTATCCGTTTGACGTGACAGCCCGACTTCCTCTTTAGCAGCCTCGAGGCTGCGTGTGCCCGGGGCGCGGTGGGGACCCTCGGAGAAGGCGCTTTTGGTTCTGGCCGGCGTCTCCCGGGAGAAGAAGTCCGGGGCTCGGCTCACCGCGGCGGACCACCCTCGGTGTCGGGGTGGTTGCTTTCCTGGCGCAGACGCCGCGCAGGGCAGCTTCGGAGTCCTGGTGCGGAGAAGTGGGGTTATTTGCGGACTCGAGGGCAGCCCTGGCCGCAGCTCTGTGGATGGAAACACCCACCTTCGCAGACTTTGCTGCTCTTAGGACATTGACCCTCACAGGCGCCCAACCAAGTTGCGCGGCCAAACTCTGCAGCTCCTTTCCCGAAAAAAGGGAACGGCTTGCTTTTTCTCCTCCTGCCATTTATTCAGGGACAGTGAAGTGAACCCTGTTTGGGGGTCCTGGTAGGTGCAGAGGCAGTCGGGACGTAGACACCCTATCAAACGTGCCATCCCTTGGTATGAAGCATCGCCTCCCTCTCGAATGCTTGGCATTTGCTGCCTTGCCGTTACCAGGTAGAATCCACCAGAACATTCTGCAGTTTAGATGCAGTCAGTCACCGGAATGATTTGCTCTTTTATCCATTAGATTCAAAATTTTGCTTTGTTTTCCCTAAGCATTTACAGGTGGTTTTTTTGTTTTTTGTTTTTTTTTGTTTTTTTTTTGGGAGGAGAGATCACTGAATTAGCATTCATCTTCTCCTTAAATTTAGCTGGAAGAACAGCTGGTAATTGGGGGACTCGACTTGTTCCCACTGGTTCCAGAGCATTTAAAAGTGTTTGTAAGTTGATATTAGGTTCCTCTCCACCTTTTTTGGTCACATACTTTGACAACTGTTAGACATTTGCTTTTTAAAACATCTTCCAGTTTTAGTCGGCCCTGCTCATGCCATCCTGGCTGCTCCAAGTTACTATACTTGTCTCTTAATTCCTGAAACTTCAAAGTACAAGACGTGAATCTAATAGGCATTATTGTTGTAATCACACACACAGCAGAATTTCACATGGAATTTTAGTGTTGGGAGAGATGCTGAAGACAATCTTAGCTCAAGTCCTTTATTTATTTATTTATTTATTTATTTATTTATTTATTTTATTTAAAAAAAAAAGATTTTATCTATTCATTTGACAGAGAGAGACACAGTGAGAGACGGAGAAGCAGGCTTCTCACCAAGCAGGGAGCCTGATGTGGGGTTCCATCCCAGGACCCTGGGATCATGGCAGATGCTTAACCACTGAGCCACCCTGGCGCCCCCCAAGTCCTTTATTTTTTTAAATGGAGAACCTGAGATCTGAAGACGTGCAGCAGGTGTTCCTCAGGGACCACAGCTGCCGGCCTGTGTTGCTGAAACTAGCTTCTGTCCTGTCCCCTGCCTTCCAGGCTTCTGGGCTTTTTGCTAGAGGATGTAAGACACCTCTGGCTTCTCCTTGGATGTGTTGAAAGGGTTACAAGAAGGCATCCTCGCCTAAATCAAGATGAGTACTAGGGAAAAGTGTATTTCTTGGTCTTAGAAAGGACGTTATTCTTGGGGACTTATGAGAGTAGGACTTTCAAAGATGAAATGTTTCTGACCACCTCTCCTCCCTTCCCCAAAGAAACTAGTATCGCTATGGAGAAATGAGCCCTATAGCCTGCATTTGGGTCCGTCTCCAGCTGCATAAAAGGGATCTAAGGAGTTCTAAGGTTCAGGAACATCTAAGAATTGCCATCCTGTCTTGGGACAAGGCCACACGGAGGCTGGGTGAGGAGGTGGTCTGGGCTGGGTGGAGCTGTGAGCAACGGAGGTTTCTATGTGGCTTTAGGTCCAGGAAATGTGTGGTCTTTCTTGCCTTATATAGTCTTACCTTTCAGTTTGAAACTGAATTCTTAGATGCTGCTTCATAACCTCACCGGAGGCTTAAAAACCCTTTGCTTGAGTTCCGGCTGCAAGAGTTTTGCTCCTTCATTGTGGGTAGGGGGCTGCCTGGTGGGAGTCACTGCTTCTTCCACAGAGTTTGTAGAGGAGTGCCTGACTCGCTGGTCAGCTGCTGGCGAAACAATCCCTTCTCCGTCCCTCCGTCATTGTTGAAGGTCCTATCTGTGAGCTGGTTCTCGATTTTTCCACCATGGCTCTTGGATTTGTAGCTTGATACCCCAATTTCCCTGACACATTCTTACTGTTGATAAGCTGAATCACAAGCTGTCTTGGTTTGTTTTTAAACCTGCCTAAAGGAAAGAATGCAAGAGGATGACATTTCCTGTCCTGCTGAAGCTGGGGGCAGGAGCTGGCTGGGTTGATGGCAGTCACTTCGTGAAGAGTCAGTCCCGCCCTGGCATCTCGGTCGGTAGTGCACAAGGAGGGACCGTGTTTTCTGAAACTCTGTTTTGGGATAGTTTAAAAAAGGGAGAGGCAAGTGTGGTTTTTAGTTTTATTTATTTATTTTTTTTTACTATGAGAGGGAACTGGGAGCTGTTGCTACAAACAAACTTAGCATTTAGCACTTCTGCATTTGTAACTGTGTCTCTTCTGTTTTCCTCTTCCCACAGCACACATCATTTTTCTTGTAGTATTATGGGGACCAATCATCCTGGTTTGCTAGAACTGAGGGGTTTCCCAAGATGTGGTACTTTCGGTGCTAAAGCTGGGAAAATTCTAGGCCAGCCACGATGAGCTGGTCACCTTGCGCAGCATAGAACGTACTCACCCACGTAATTAATATAATAATGTGATTATTTCTTCCTAGATGGACCTTAGGAGGTTTCTTAAATCTTTGATAAAGTGAGGTGATTTTACATTTGGGAGAGAAAGTACTGTTTCATACAAATGTAATGCATTTTAGCTCAAGATGGCCATGAAACTCTTTGCAATTTGATTTGCGATTCAACTTTCGGGGGCCGCTTTTTAGGTCTGGTTAAGGCGTTCCAGTGATTTTAAGTGTCTGGGCCTGTCTTCGGCTATCCCCCCCTCACCCCCCAAAACAGGTTTTCAGAGTTCTGAAGTCAGAATGGTAAGTTCTCTTGGATCTTTGAAATGTTCACTGTTCTTACCTGAATTTGCTGTTGACAGCAGAATGTCACCTCCATCTCAGGGGCTGCCTGGAGACAAACTGTTCCAGCAGGTGGCCCTTCTTTGAGCTTCCTGCGTGGAGGCCTTCTGGCTAGGTGTCCCCTTGCCAAGCCCTAGCTCACACTCGAGTCACCCATCTCCTTGCCAAAGGCAGTGAGTGGCTGGCAGCTGTGGCAGTGGCAGGAAGCAGAAACCCTGTAACTCTGAAAACAGGATTTCTAGCTCATAGTGTGGGGCCTTGGGACGTGTTGTGTACCTTATAGGGCCCCCCTCATCCTACCGTTGCTCCCAAGGGCACTGGGTTTAGAGCAAACACTCTGCTGCGGTCCTGCCTTCAGCAAAGAAGGGAAAAGAAAGGCTTTATTTTTTGGACCCTTCTTTAGTTGTTTGGGATCCAGTCACATGATCGGGGAGTGCACTTGAGGGCTGGTGTTTCCTGGCAGAGACCCAATAATGCCTTACATTTATTGGGATCTTGTGTGTCAGGCCCTTGCTGTGAATCATCTCTCTTAACCCTCACAGCCTCACTAGGAGGTAGGAGGCATTGTGATTCCTATTTTATAGATGAGAAAACAGGAATAGAGAGGCCAACTGACTTGTTCAACGTCATACACCCACTAAGGAGCGCCCTGTCCTACCCTGGCAGTCTGATTGCACAGGTGGGGCTCTACCCGCAAGGTTATCATTTCAGTGGTTGAAGGTCAGTGTGGTTGTAGGACCCACGGATGCCTGCTCTTCTTTCCCAGGAAGCCATCGGGCGAGCTGCATCCCGCAGTCCTCCTTGCTCTGGGGGCCAGACCAGGTGCTGTCCCAGTCAGGCGATGCTCTGAGGCCTCTGCTACTGCTAGATGTGGGCCTGGCTTATCCTGTTCCTTTCTCCAGCCCCCTGCCGTGCTGAAAGACCTGTTGATGGGTAGTCCTGGGGATTTTTTCTGGGTCATTAGCAAATACACTATGATCGCTATAGAAAAATCAGAATGCTGGATACACAAAAAGAAACAGTTAAAACCATCTGTAGTCTCTGCTCAGAACTATTCCTGACATCTTGATACAAAAGGAAACTTCTAGTAGCCAGGTAGAGTCTTTAAACCTTCCACAGAATGCTATCAGTATCTTTCTCTTGACCACAAAGCTAACAACTATGCTATCTGGACCAGTGATTTTTCCAAATAAACCGAATTTTTGCATCTCTTAAATAAATGACTGGCTGCTCTGGTATAAACGCAGCAGCACATGCTTTTTTTTTTTTTTTTTTCAAAGATTTCAACTTTTACTTCCTCTTTTTCTCTAAATAGAGAGTAAATATAAACTCCAGAAAGCACAGTTGTTTGTGCCAGAAACAGGACTGAATCATTCT